CTTTTAGCCTAGTCCATACCAGCATTACAGGAGGGGGTTAGAGAGGCTGGGAGTTGCTTTCCAAGCACCACTTACAGTACATTTCTGTTCAGTAAAGACATTTCCAGAGACAAATTCTATATTCATCAGCTTTTATTTCCTCTCCTTCCGACATTAGGTGGTGATTTAGAAATGGGGGACTTAGAATTTATCCAAGAGATATTAGAAAGCAGCAGGACTGGGGAGATAGCCCCGTGGGCAAAGCATTTGCCACACAAGTGTGAAGACCTGAGTTCAGATCGCCAGAACATAAAGTCAGATGGTATAGCACACATCTGTAACCCCAGTGCTCCTATGGAGAGATGGGAGGTGGAGACATGAGACTTCCCAGAAGCTAGTGGGTCAGCTACCCTAGTGTATGCAGTATAAGCAAGAACTCCTGACTCAAAGGACTGACACCCACATTTGGCCTTTGACTTCCATATGTACACCATGGAATGGGTATGCACTCTCATACTTACAAACACACATACATATACACAAAGGAGAGGAGGGGAAAATAATGAAAATTTGGAAGAATTATTCAACTTTATAATAGCACTTAACCATTTTCTGTGAATGGATAAAGAAACTGAGGCTGAGAGAGGCTGAAATCTTGTAGGTTTAAGAGCGCTTTCCAGTAGAAGTTCAATACGTGAGCCTCATCCAGGATTATTTCCATGATCTCAAGAAACAATTCAGTTTCTCTGATGCAAAACAGTATTTCAGTTTTGTACTTTAATTCACTGTTTTGCCAGCAAAGGCCTCCATGGGAAGAAACACAGCATAAACCCATAGAGGTTTGCAGCAACTTCACTGCTAAGTTGCATTAGCTCAGATACTCTGCCCTGCTCACTGTTTATATTTTAGAGGGATGTTAACCATTCATGTATAATTAATTCTCTCCTTTTTAAGTAATCCTCACAGGCTCTTACTGAAGACATTCGATACCTTCGTCAGAGATAAACAAGAGACTGAAGGCTTCTTTTTCTAATCCACAAGATAATGAGTCAGTTAATTTTATTTTTGGTACTATGGACTAATCTCAGTCTCACACTAGGCAAGTGTACTCCTACTTAGCTACACTGTCAATCCCAAGTTTCTCATATTCCTAGAAAAATAATGGGGGGGGGAGAGAGAGAGAGAATGAGAGAGAATGAGAGAATAGTGGAGGATAAAGAGGGAAAAAGATACTTACAGGAGGAGAAGATATAGCTTGAAAAGGATCAGAGTAGTCACTAACATACCCTAGTGTTAACCTTTGAAAGAAAAAAAGTGTAATTTGTTACCTACTTATAGAAATTAAATACCTCTATAATAAACTGATTTCCCAACACTCTTGCCTTAACTTTGATATAACAAATATCTTTTGAAATAGTTGATAAACGTTAAGAAAATGAAAAATAAACCTGAAAAACCTTGACTAAAATGACCAACTGAAGGAAGCCTACCACATAAAGGGAAGAATGCATCTAAACCATTTCTGTTCACAGAAGGGATCTTCAGCAGAATTCAGACATTCAGTAACAAACATGGCTATAAACATTTGTCCCAACAGTCAAGAGGACAAAGGATGCGCCTGTGAGAACAGTAACCAGATCTTAGGCCTCTGGTCTTTGAAGTTTGAGATATTTTCCCAGAACTTCCACAGCTTTCTTTCTCTCTGACCTCTCAGGAAGATCACAAAAGTAAATTCCCCTTCAGTCCCTCTTTTTGTTATTCTGCCAAAATCACAGTCACTGATAAGGCCCACCAGACTCATTACATACCATCACTATAAGGTTTCCAGTATAAATGCCGTTTTAAGTGAGCCTCTTCTGTTTTATTAATGCTTGACAGACATTTAATAGCAATGATGGTGCCAAATGATTCTTAGCATATCATGTCATTAAAAGCCAGATGTCTGCAGGGACAGAAGCACAGGCCGCCAGCCCCAGGGCTTTTCCACCATTCTCATTTCCTAACCTCATTTACAAGATGAAATTGTGGGGTGTGACTCTTTTTTCTGTATTTCTTTTTCTCTGTGTGTCAATTCCAGTTTTTTTATTGAGTAAAAGATGGAAGAAGAGCAATGAGAAAAAAAAAAAAAGGAAAGACAAATAAGGGAAGATCTGGAGAATTAGCATTTACGTTATTTTTTTGGCCTTTTTGAGACAAGGGTCTCCCTGTAGCTCCACCTGTCTTGGAACTCACTCTGTAGACCAGACTGGCCTTGAACTTACAGAGATCTGCTGGCCTCTGCCCCGAAAGTGCTGGGATTAAAGGCGTGTGCCACCATGCCCGGCTCTATTTCTATTTTTAAATATCTTCACATTGGAAAAATAGCCATATAGACATTGGCATGATACATATTTTAATTCCTGGTATTTCATATTTCACTATCCTAGGTGGTCCTGAAGCCCTAGTCTTCCCAAAGCCAACAACATCCAAATTACTACTATTAGGTAGTAGAATCAACTGTCACTATTGCAAGTTATGGTTCATGTCCATGAACTCATGCCCAAAGAAATCCCTGCTGAGTTTGGGTTTGCTTTGCTGTCTTGCACTCAAGGGAAACTCTGAAGTTTTCACATTTATTTGCGATCCTGTAGGAGATGTGGAACCCAGTCTTGCCTTGTGGACATACTTCAGCTTTGAGCTCTGACTGTTGTGATGGTGGCTTCCTCTAAAAATAATCAGTTTGGGACTCGACTTTTCAGAATAAGCAACTCTCTCCCAGTCCTATGCAAATGGGTCCTGTGGGTAAAATCATCCCCGTCCCATTGCCTCAGCACATGCTAACCTACAAAGAAACTGAGTCCCAGGGGCAGGGGGTAGTTGGCTAGAGAAACTTGCAGAGTCAGGGAGGGGGTGTAAGTTAGGACTGCACTCTGGCAGGTCTGGAAACTCATGCCTGCTATTTGTCTTTGCTGTGAGGTTCCCTGAGAACATTCTGATCATCTCACAGCAGCCTTTCTCAAACTGGTTTTACAACTCAGTGATGAGAAGTGGAGAGACTGAGGGGTGGTACAGTGCCAGTATCATCTTTCTCAATCTTCTTGTATACTTCTCACACAATAAGGTAACCTCTACAGTTCTCTCTAACACAGATTTTCTTTTGAGGATATCAACCTCTTACTATGTTTGTGAATATCATATGTATTTATGAATCTAAGACTCATAATTTCAAAGCATTTCTCACAGTGACATTTAGACCACCTGGTTGTTGTATAGCTTCACTTATTGGCTGAATTTTTAACCCACCTTTTTTTTTTTAAACATTCATTCATCGATTATTTATTTTTTTATTTATTGTGTATGCATCAGAGGGCATGCATTTGGAGCTCAGAGAACAACTTGCAGGAGTCAGTTCTCTCCCAGGAATTGAACTAAGGTCATCAGCTTGGTAACAAGTACCCTTACCCATTGAGCCATCTTGCTGGCCCTGCATCCCATCTTCAGTACACATGTTCCTCAACTTAAGGTGGAATCACATCTGATAAACCAATCATAACCTAAAAATATTGCAATTCAAAAATGCACTTAATACACACAAAGCAGCAGACATAACTCAGCAACATAGTACCTCATGGAGTATCAGTTTAGTCCTGAGTATGCCTAGCTGATTGGGAACTCTGGCTTGTTAAGGTAGGTGGTCAAGCATCAGGAAAGGGCATCACAACATCCAGTGAAAATCAGCTATGTTGAACGACCGGAGATGGGAGCTATCTAAATACCCAATGGTGACTTCCCTTTCTACACAATGTTTCACCTTACTAATTTTCTATGTTTGTTAATGGAACCATCCTCATCTTTGGGAACCCATGTTAAAAGCATTCCAGATGGCATTTCATTTCTCTCTAAAACCAATCCCTGCCCAGTCCCGTGGATTCTTCTTTCTCAAAGACTGTTTATTTTTGAGACCCTGTCTGCTCAGTCTCCATCAAATTGCTTATGACTTTAATCTGCACTTGCTTCATTCTGACTTGCATGTTATATTGATATCTTTCTCCACTCCACATCCTGCAAAATTTCTTTCCTGTGGCTCTAACTCCCGGGGCTTTGAGCACAGTATTTGAAGAGATGTAACAGTCGCTCAACAACTCTTTGTAGCAGGACTGGATCAACGTTCAGGTGTTAAATTTAAATTGCATCGGAGGCATGGATCTTATTTTACACACTCCCCCAAAGACGCCTAGAGTAAAGGATAAAGGAATCCGGAACTATCTTTTCCAAAACTGGAACACCACATCTGCAATTGTAACTCCGAGTTGCTGCAACAACTAGCTGGAGTTTTAATTTAGAAAAACACAGTCTTGCTATTTAAAAGCAGTCCCTTAGACACAGATCCCGGCTGAAATCTTCCAGGATCCAGCTACCCCACCCCTTCCAATGGCCTGATGCGCGGCGGGGGAGGAGCCAGAAGCGAGCTGGCACAAGGAAGCAGAAGGAGCGCGGGATGGGGGAAGTCCCGGAAGTCATTGACCGGAGGCGCGGGGAGCCTCCGTGGGATCTCTCTGGGCTGTAGTCCCAACAATAACAGGCTCTCCAGCCCGCGGGGCGGGCGGGGGCCGCAGCTTAGGGGCGGGCCCAGATTGGGGGAGGCGGGTGGGACACTCCCAAAGGCCCAAGGCGATTGGAGAACGCAGAAGAGGGGCGGTGGAGCTCCGGGAGTGGGCCGGGGACCTAACGGGTCGACCGAGGAGAGAGTGTGCTGATTGGGCGATGCAGAAGGAGCTGGACCCGAGCAGAGCGTGGATTGGTTGCGGCCGGCCTAGGAGGCGTGGCCGGCGCGCGCCAGAGGGAGCGCGAGGGAGCAGGCGGCCGGCCTGCCAGCTAGCGGGAGCGGCGGGCGAGCGCGGCCAGCCTGGTCAGGCACAGGAGCGCGGCGGGAGCGCGTCCCCAGCTTGGCCGCCGGCGCGCCCACCTCCTCCGTGCCCGTCCCCCGCGCTCCGGCCTGGGGTCGCAGGACGGGCAGCGCGGCGAAGGGACGTGGCCAGAGTAGGCGAACCTGGGGCAGACGGGTCCGGGAGCGGTGTGAGGCGAACTGCGCTGCCGCCGCGTCCTTCCCGGGTGCCGCGGGCCCGGGTCGCGCGGGGCCCCGCGGCGTCCGCACTATGCGGGCGGACTGCCGGCCGCCGGGATGGCGAGCGGGGCGCCGCTGAGAGTCGAGAGCAGCTCGCGGGGTCCCAGAGGCCGGGCCGCAGCCGCCGCCCCCGGCCGGGCAGCGCTCCCCCGCGCTGGCTGCTGTCCCCTCCCTCCCTGCTGCAACTCCTCCTCCTGCTCCTCCAGGCCTGGGCTCCCCCTGCTTCTGCTGCTCCTGCTGCTGCAGCTGCTCGAAGACGCGGGAGCTCAGCAAGGTGAGTGGCTCTGGGGTTTGGATCCGCCTCCCCGGGACTCCTGGCTGTTGGAGGAACCTGTAGGAGCGCCCCAGAGGCGCAGTAACACTTGCGAGGTTGATATTCAGAGCGGGCTCTGCTGCCGGGCCCTGGCCCTCAAGTTTGCGCCGCGTCACTTTTTGGCAAGGCCATTCATTTCTCTGAAAGAGGGACGTGAGACCCTGACATGAAGGCCCTTTCTTTGCTGGTTCCGTCTGGACAGATGGACCGAATAAAGAAGGAAATTAGATAGCATCTTGTGCCTATTCAAGACAAGTAGTAAGTAGTGGTTTTTAACCATCCTTGGGAAAGCGCTGAGGTTTAAGCGAGTGAAGCAGATTGCAGTGATTTTTTGAGTGTTGGGGTTGGAACACGTTCTTTACATCCCCTGCCTGTTACTCAGGATGGTGGTTTATAGGTTGCCACGGTCAAACGATGAGTGTGACTCAAGGCAATTTACGATATTGCCCTAATGGACACCAAAAGGGCCAAAACTTTTCTAGAAACGGACAAAACTTTTTTTCCATGTACAGTCCTTGAAAAACCTATTCCAGAAGGGAGCAAAACCGCTGATTGGTAATCATTGTGTCATCATAGGGGGGCGGGGATTGCGGGGGTTGGTGTTAGTGCTAGTTTCAGGCAGCATACTGCACTGTAGTTGGACACGTTTTCCGTTGATTTTCTTGTTTTATTACAGTGAGAAAGATAAGGGTTGTGTTGATACTTATTGCTGGGAAGATTTCTTTGAAAATCAGTCTTTTAAGTTCAGCTTTATGGTTGTGTTCCTATGCTTGTCAGTAAAGTATGTCTTCAGGGTCATGGGACAGTCATTGAGAAGAGGCTGAAACTTTGATCATCATGTGAAAGAATGATTTCTAAGGAAAATACGTGCTTGGTAAACTGAACGTTTTATATATAGTCACATTTATACAGAACGACTTAAGATGAAGATGTTTAGCATGCAGGTTTCAATCAGCACTTACCACCGTAGGGTGTGGAAGCCTCTGTGGAAGTTTAGCACCAAGGCGGGAACTTCCTTCCAGGTAAGGGAAACAGACTTATTTATATATGGCTACCACTTATAGGAGCTTACTGTATGGGAGACACAAGACTAAGTGGTTTATGTAACTAATAAGTTCATTTAACTTCACCACAACTGTTGTTATCTATCCCATTTCCAGTATAAGGAAACTGATACACAATGAATGCAACCTTAATACTGATAGGAATATGGCTACATAAGGAGAATCCTGCCCCTGTTTTGCTTATTTCTAGACGGGAAAGTGTTTACATCATGTTTTTAAAAATCACTATTGTCTTTTGGAATTTTTCCACCTAGAGTATATGTAATATGTAATGTGTAATATGTGTAATGTGTAATATGTGTAGTATGTGTAATGTGTAATATGTATAATATTTTTAATGACTATATAATTTTTATCAGAGTATTTAAACAAATGTTTGTCTCAGCCAAAATGTCAGCATACAATAACACAAATAGAAATTACACTGATAGGATTTTTATTTCTTCAAAACAATTGGGTAGCCAGGTGTGGTGGTGCATGCCTTTAGTCCCAGCACTGTGGAGGCAGAGGCAGGTGGATCTCTTTGAGATTGAGGCAATCCTAGTCTACATAGTGAATTCCAGGCCAGCTGGGGCTACAGGGAGACTCTGTCTCGAAGGGGGAAAAAATTGATTTGGTACATTTGTTTAACCATTTAGTCCCTTTGTAGTTATTTTCTGCATTATTCATAAGAGAATACACATGTATTTCATAGATTAATTAAAAGGAGATGATAATATGCAGGGACTTTGCAAAGGGAAACCAATGTAGTTACTCAGTTACTAATTGTGAGTTGCTCAGTTGGTAAACTAAGGGCTAGGAGTTATGTAGAATTTGGATTCCCTGATTTTTGAAGATCTCTTACCCTAAGGACCTTAATGCAGTGAGTTTGCCTTCATGTCAGTCTTTCTGGCCTACCTCATTGCTTCAGGGCCTCTGACACTGGCTCCCGGAACTGAAATGAAGTCTCACTTAAAAACAGCAGCAGTGCATGGAGATAGCTATAGACATTTTAATACTGAGAATGCCCACATATAATGCAGAGGTACCGCATGGAATCTACTCTTTAAGAAGTCTTGGGAGCAAGACTAGAAGGAAATAAAATGTTATCAGCTGTCATTCAGTGGTAGAATTATGGGTAATTTCTTTGTACTTTTCCAAATAAACTTTTTGCTGAATAGATTCTTTCCCCCCCCAGCTAGCCCAGATAGAAATATGTTCACTGTCTATTCAAGTAGAGCTATGCATAGGTTTTTTTCTTCTAATCTTTCTGATATTATTTTGAAATAGCAGACTATATTACCTTCATTCCAATTAATACCATTCTTAGCTATTTCTCAGCAAATTTTCTGCTGACAATAATTTTTCTATTCGACTTAGATAAAATATGTCAAGAATTTGAAAACTTGATGACTTTTTGCAACAGAGGTGTATCCTAACTAGCATATTTAAATTTAAAAATATTCAGCTCATTTACGTAGAGGGCATTTTAGATGTAGTTTGTCTATGTAGATTCTGAAATTAGTATTAAGTTCATTTTCAAAACTTTTTTTCTGTAAATCTTTTAAACAAAGCTTAAATTGATGGGACTTAGCCTGATTTTAATTTCTGGCTGTAGTAAATTTCTAAGAAGTTGATACTCTACTGTGATTGAATTTCTATTCCAATTTCCATTATGACTTCAGGAGCTGGGATCACCCCATCTCCGGAGCTTCTTCATCCATATCATGGAAGACTCATCTACCCTGTGGATTAGAATGTGACTTGAACATGATAGAATATAAGGAAATTAATTTTTAAAATCCATTAAAACTGGTTTGTTTATATCATGACATGTTGGCAAAGGTGTTGATCTTGATTTGCAATTTAATAAACCTATGAAACAAATCATGTTCCTTCTTTAAAGAATCACTTCAATCCCACAGTGATATTTGGAACTAGTGCATGAAAAAATTTGTACTCTGGCAAGCAATGCACATATTGGCCTGTGATATAAGGAAAGACTTTAGGAACAATATTTGTGAATTGTAAGAAATAGAGAACTTATTTCTTCAAAAAAAAATCTGTAATTATTTCTAATATTAATATTACGTTAATTCAGAATTTTGTGTCTTTTCTTGGATTGAGAGCAAACCAGACATGCATGCCTGTAATCTGAGCTCTTGGGAGACTGAAGCAGAGTCTTGGTCAGCTTGGGCTACATTATGGGACCCTGTCTCACAGCCTACCAGTCAATCCATACCAAAACTGGGCTCTCTTCTTATATAACTGTATTCAGAGGCGAAAATCAAAGCATCCTTTTCTGCTGTGTTTTTTTTTTTTCATTAATTTTGCAGAGTAAAAATTAGAAACATAAATGTATGCTAATGATCAGACTTTAATCCTGCATTTTTGACACTTCAAAAGGAAAACATAAAATTTCAGGTTAATGATTTTTAGGTACACTTTTCAATGGCATAAGAACAAACAGTATTTCCCTCTGGAAATAGTTTTATCAATTATTTGAAGATCAAAACATCATTCTTAAAGAGCAACAAATCTTAAAAATGGCGAGATTGATTAAGCCAAAGTACCAGTACTAGAATTAAACTGATAGATGAATGGTTAATGTAAAAGGAAACAGATCATGTGTGAGGATAGGGGTCTAGATTAGATAGGAGTAGATTTTAAATTTAGAAGTACACTCAGCAAAATGACTCTGAGATTTAGAAGCTCAGGTAGACAAGTCAGTGTTAACTAAGTATATGCAGATGGGAAGTTTTTACTTCCACATCTTGGTTTTTTGGAAAGATGTGGAGTGATGGCCCGAGATGAGGCTTGGAAAAGCTTCATAAAGATTGTGACACTGCTGAAACAGGAAGTGGAACACATTGAGTAGTTCGTTTCACTTGTGGAGCTCCGGGTTTGGTTTTAGGCAACTGCGTCACAAACTTCACAACCACAGTACTTTTCATGTATTTTAAAAATATTTTACAGAAGACAGTGCTAATTGTGTAAAACTAAAATCTTAGATGATAATTATGCACAGTTGTTTCCTACTTTATTTTTTGTTTTCCTTGCTATTCAGTATTCACATACCTTCATAATTTTTTTTTGGTCTTTTTGAAGCAGGGTCTCCCTGTAAGCCCCAGCTGCCCTGGAACTCACTATGTAGACCAGACTGGCCTTGAACTCACAGAGATCCGCCTGCCTCTGCCTCCCAAGTGCTGGGACTACAGGCGTGCGCCACCACGCCCAGCTACCTTCATAATTTTAACACAGGTAAACATACATGCAGAATCACAGCTCTGACTCCTCGGGTATTGCAGAACACGAGTGTACCTACTTACATGCAAGCATTACACTCATACACATTAAATTAAAAAAAAAACAAAAACACCCTACTATTTCAGTATTTTTTTTTTCATTTTATTTGTTGTTCAGGATAGAATCTTTAAGAAAATAGTTTAAAATGATATTTACTTTTAGTTCAGTAATATGTCACGATAATTTTCCAGATCATTATTTGGGCTAGATGAACATAATTCAAGAGGATGAAAAATACAGGTATTCAAAGAAGTTAGCGATCGATGAATGCCAGTGCTATATCTATTTAAGCAGATGAGATAATGGTGATTTCTAAGTTACTGAACATTGCTCATTAAATCAACTATACTCTGAAGGGTGTATAGACTGCTTTCTAAGGAGAGCGGCCCAGAATTCCTTGCAAAGCTTTTATTAAGCGAAGTACCTGGAGCTCTGAGTTAGAATTGTATTGCTGGAGGTTAGAGAGCTGTCAGTACTCTGTTTCAGTTTTTTTAAAAAAAATTTTATTTATTATTTCTATTTTATGTGTATGAGTGTATTGCCTGCATGTACGTGAGTGTACCTGTGTCATGCAGTACTGTGGAGGTCAGAAGAGGGCATGGGATTCCCCTG